GAGGTCTTAAGACACAAAACAATCGGTCTGTGCATGAAACTGAACAGTATTTATATAGTTTTTTACCTCTGATCCACCGCAATGTCCAACTGTCCTGAGCACGTTCACAACACCCGGCGCGTGACGTCAAATAAATACGGTCAGGCAAAAAATTCCACGTTGTCTGATGATATATCAAAATCGTCTTCCATTGTGATGACCTGTACTTCTAAATAGCTTTAGATCATGGCAGTGCCAGTGAACACGTCCACAATCTCTCTGCACTGCGTAAATAATGAGTTGTGTAAAACATCGCTTCCGCACATGTCTACTATCATAGATATGTATAGATGCCCTATTCGACTGCTCCAGATACGTTGATGCGTCCGCCATTTTGGAACGTATCGCGGCCCATAGAAACAGTCACTAATGAGGCATCTACTTATATATATCTATGTCTACTATGCCAGAGCGGCTCGTGACGATACATTGATGTGTAAAAACACGAAACGATCGGTCTGTGCAAGAAACTGAACAGTATTTATATCATTTTTTACCTCTGATCCACCATAATGTCCAACTGTCCTGAGCGTGTTCACAACATCCGGCGCGTGACGTCAAATAAATACGGTCGGCAAAAAATTCCACATTGTCTGATGATATATCAAAATCGTCTTCCATTGTGATGACCTGTACTTCTAAATATCTTTAGATCATCGCAGTGCCAGTGAACACGTCCGCAATCTCTCTGCACTGTGTAACGACAGTTCGCTTTCGCACGTCTACTATCATAGATATGTATAGATGCCCTATTTGACTGCTCCAGATATGTTGAGGCGTCCGCCATTTTGGAACGTATTGCAGCCCATAATCACGAGTTGCAGTGTTTAATTTAGTTTTGTCTGTGTATGTTTTTTTTTACTCTCAAAGCCGTGGAGCCCATTGACTGCCATTATAGAACTGACAGACTGCAACGGTTTGAGTTAAAAATCTTTGTTTGGCAACCTGGAGGCGCTTGCTGTTCAGGGGTGATGTGGTGTTCATCGTAATTTTTATGCACCTTTACCCACTTTTCTGGGGTTAATCAACACTCGTGACCTAATGTAACCCCTAAACTTTTCAAATCATCCCTTGGTGGAGACTGAAAGGCTGTAGGTTTGAATCCTGCATGGGTTGATCTGAGAGTAGATTGGATTCACATTGTCTATATTTATTTTTAGTTTAAACAATGAAACGTTTAGCACAGCTGAAGAGTGCTACACATTTTAATTCACTTCTTTATTTTTAATTTTCTTCAAGAAAATGAAGCCTATTTTTTAGGACCGTCAATTTTTTTTTAAATCAAGCTTTATTTACAACAACCGTTCCAGTTCCCTGGAAATCTGCAGATCTTTCATAAGCTCGATCAAGATGCTCCACCTCGGGTTGTTCCATGAAAATCGTCTAACCATCTGACGAAGCTAGATATCTTGAAATCGAGTGACAGGTCCACACAGACTTTGTGTTCACAGAAAGATCAGATTTTCACAGAATCGAAATGCCTGACATTCATAAAATTCTGCACATGCCCCAACAATACTATGTTTTTTTTGGATAAATGCATACCCAGGTCAGTTTAACACATTTTACCATGATTAAATGCATTCCTTATTGACCACAGATGAAATGTTGGTTTACAAAAGGTTAAGCTTTATGTTTGATCTGACCTATGACTCATAACTAGAACAATAGTCTGAAGAACGATGATGCATCTCATCCTGAAAGCCGCTGTGTCATAATCAAGAGCTGTTTGACTTTGTTTGAAATCTTGAGCTTTTCTTCCTAAAATCCATTCAGGTCTCTGAAAGAAACAGTAGAGAAAGGATCTGCTCTGAGTGAGGGAGTGTGGTGTATTAGTACTAGTAGCCACTCATCCAGCATCCGTTATCCGCTCTCATTAGCCGGGGGGAAGTTTGGAAGATGTCTGGACAAGCTCATGCTGTATGAAGCCGAGTCTTGCTGTTATTAGAGATCTAAGACTTGCCTACAAATCCAACAAGAGAGACTCAAAGCTTTGGCTCTAATGGATTTTGGATGAAAATGTGTGTGAAGTTTTATATGATTTCACTCACATTCATCTGACCCTTACAAAACTTTGGTGGTACCATATAAGATGGTAATACTATGGTACTTTGATATACCCTATACCAGTCAAACGTTTGGACATGTGAATGTATTTGTTTCTCATGATCCTATAAAGTCTAAAGCCATAAATGCTTAAAATTAATTTTGTAGAGTAATATAAATTGTGATTCTATATGAATATCTTTACAAAACCTTTTGAACATTTTATTTTTTTTGTATTTTTTTTATTATTATTTAAAAAAAAATTTTATTTTTTATTTTTTTATTAATTTTTTTATTTTTTATTTTATATATTTTTTTATTTTATTTTATTTTACCCCCCAAAAATACTTAAATCAAAAAGAAAAGAAAAAAACACAAGATAAAAAAACAAACAAACAAATCTCTGGCCTTTTTTTTTATAATCATTTATTTTATTTTATTTTATTTTGTTTTAATTAACAATTTTGTTTCCCAAGCAATTGTGTCTTGTTTTAAGGATGTTGGATGTTAAGATATTTATACAGGAAGATAAAACAAATTCTTCAAAACGTGTTTTTCTTTCCCATTGTGACCAAAGTTTTTTTATTTTATTTTATACAAATAATAACTTTTTAAAAATGAGTATTTATATCTATAATTGACTGACACTGATTACAATGGTAGTACATGATCACCGTAATCATGGTACTTTAAAGGTACATTGTAATGCTATGGTAGCATGCCTAAAAAAATATAGCAATACCATGGTAATATTGTGTAGTGGATCTTGGATGGAAAACCCTCTTTCTTCAGTTGCTTTCGTGACATTTAGACAGATTTCTCAATTCTCTTATGTAACTCCTGGTTTGGCTTGAAGCACATGTTTGAGCTCAAAGTGAAGAATCCACTCATATTTTACTCCCCTTCATTCTGCAGATGTCTCATGTTCAGCGAATGGGAAAAAAACGACTGGAAGCAAAAAAGATGATGACGGATCATTTCCAGTGAAGATTCAGGGTGCAGGTGTCGAACCCTTTGAGCTGCAGGTGAGCTTCCATCATAAGAGCGCTAGTCTTGGCGTGGTGTAACCTCACATTTACTAGTCCGGTTTGTGCTGATCAGCAATGCAAATGTTTTCAAATATATCTGTCAACAGAATATCAAAAGATGCAAAGCACATGTCATTCTTTAATGTTAAGATTGGGTCGTTATCGCTGATAATGTTTTCTCTGCAGGTTCATGGATTCTGGCTGGTCCAGGATGCCATCATGACCGTTCTGGGCAGAGAGGAGGTGGCACCGCGCATGTCTATCGCTCTGGCCCTTTCAGGTGTGACCCTCGACCCCATGATGGAGCTCCAGGACGTCAAGGGCTTCAAAGCTGGAGTCACTCTCCGTCTAGTGGAGGGTAAACTGCAAGACCTTCCATTTGTGCATTTCTAAAAGACCATATTATATTCAACTTATATTATACATGGATATGAGGATGTTTGGTGGGAAATCCAGATAAAACTATATGTGTTTGGAACGTGGCTGTTGGTTTGTAGCTGGTTGTCCGACCTGGCTGAGCTGGAAAACTATCATGGACCATCTACCATGTTCCAGAATCCAGCTTGACCAATTTGAGCTGGTAAGAACAGCAAGTTTCAGGGTTTGGACAGCCACAGTAAAAACTGGAAACGGCAGGGAAATTGTGTTTTTTTTGTTTTTTTTTCAGTCTGAAGAAGTCATTGAAATGCATACAATTTTATGATTCATCATAGTTTCTATAGTGAATATATATTTTTATAATTATCTAAAACAATTTATTGGCTAGATATTGCTCAGATTTACAGTGCAACTTGTTCACAAGTCATATATACTATAAAATGTCTGATTTGTGTGTGAATCTATTTGAGTTTGAATCAGTTGAACTCTGTTTTTTCCGGTTCATGACAGTTAGGGTATGTCGAAAAACTCCCATCTCATTTTCTCCTCCAACTTCAAAATCGCCCTACATCACTGTTTTACTGTTTTTTTGTAAAGGGCATTTGATCTTCTTTGCATGTTCACTTTGTAAACACTGGGTCGGTACTTCTGCAGCGATGTAGGACGATTTTGAAGTTGGAGGAGAAAATGAGATGGGAGTTTTTAGACCTACCCTAACTGTCATGAACCGGAAAAAACTGAGCGTTTGAGGTTAAAAAGTATATAAATTGTAAATTCTTTTAGAAAATGACCGATCGTTTTGCTAGATAAGACCCCTCTTCCTTGGCTGGGATCATTTAGAGCCCTTTGAAGCTGCATTTAAACTGCATTTTGGAAGTTCAAACTCAGGGGCACCATAGAAGTCCATTATATGGAGAGAAATCCTGAAATGTTTTCCTCAAAAAACATAATTTCTTTACGACTGAAGAAAGAAAGACATGAACATCTTGGATGACAAGGAAGTGAGTACATTATCTGTACATTTTTGTTCTGGAAGTGAACTAGTCCTTTAAGCGAGAATGACCAGCTGGTAACTGGTTTTGTTGTGAGTCCAAGGTGGTCTACCAACCTAGCCAGGTTGGGTTGGTCAAACAACTTGGATCAGCTAGAAACCAACCACCATGTTCCAAAATGCAGCAACATTAGTGATCATTTCCACAGGGATCAGTAGTGTGTGGGGGGGGGGTTGCTCTACTGGTTTTGCAACTTCTTGATTTCATGCAAACCATTTGATGGCAAACTAATGAATCTTTTCTCTCTGCCAAGTGAGTCACATGGCACTCATTATGAGCAGTGTGGGAAAATAAATGATAGAATAGAAGATGTTATTGCTCACTGGATAAATCACAGTTTTACAAGATGAGACGCCTTAAAATTCAGCAGATCAGTGGAGCTGGGGAAGAGGCCTGATTTTGGTATGATGAAGTGTTCTTGTGTGTGTTATAGAGCCGTACTCGCCTCGATCAGCACAGGCTCATCTGGCACGTGTGCAGGACATGCTGAAAGCTGTCAGGCCCCAAGACGCCCTGATGGAGGGCCGATCTCCCGCTGTATTGAACACACTCACCCAAACGTCAGGTAAGAAATACACTCTAGTACATTTACATTACTGTTGAGTTCTGTTGATATAATTATGTTGATCATTATATCAACTTAATATTGTGTGTAACTCAATTTTCTACATTATTATTATTATTTAATTTTTATTGTAGTAACTTAATGAACTTGAAACCTGACCAGTGGATTTCTAGTTCCCAGCATGCTTTGCATAGGAATATTATATATGTTTATATATTATTTATTTATTTACATATTATTTTTCTTTTTAATATTTTCAGTTTTAATTTTTATTTTAGTTTAAGTTTTAATAATCATATTGTGACTTGCTTTTGTCATTTGTCATATTTCTATTTAACTTTTAATTTGAGTAATTTTAGTACTAAACTGATTTAATTTAGTAGCCAATGCAACATTTCTAAGGTTTTTACATTTTAGTTTTTCATCTATTATTTTATTTTATTTCTAATTTTATTCTATTTCAATTACAGAAAAAAATTAGTAGTTTTACTCTGTTAACAGTAAAAACACTGATCCAGTATCTTGATAACTTTATTTTTGTATATTTTCAGTTTTCTTAATAACTTTGTGCTTTTGTCATCTGTCATATTTCTATTTAACTTTAATGTAAGCGTTGGTTTTAGTAATTTTAGTACTTTAAGTTTTGTCACTTAGCCAAGGCAACATTTCTAATTTTCATTTAGGGTTTTTAAGTTTTTCATCTAATATTTGTATTTTATTTCAGCTTTATTTAAATTACTGAAAAATATTTTTCATAGTTTTAGTTAACAGTAACATCACTGTTCCAGTATCTTGATAACTTTCTGTCTTTGTGCACAAATGTTATCATAAAATACATAAAAGTGATTTTATTCAGTATTGCCTCTAAATAATTTAAAAAGCAATAATTATTTTTTAAGCCCATGGCAATGAGACTCTCTGATTGTGTGTTTTATGTGTGTACTAGAAGCCCCTCCCACTCTGCACTCATCAAAAAACAAACGAGCCAATAGTAAGACAGAGCAGTCTGGTGAAGCCCCGCCCCCTCCTGCCTGCATTCTGCCTGGAGCTTCTGAAATTCCTCCTTTGACGACCCTGCTGCCCACCAACACACACAGTGAAGTATGTCAAACACACACAAATAAACCTTCAGGCATTTGCCTTTGTTTTTCATTCTCAAACTGCTTCTCTTATAGGCTCCCAGTTTCCTGCTGGACCTGTCACTCAGCTGTTGGAACCCTCCCCCTGGTTTCCGGAAGCTGCAAGGTGACTTCATGTACATCAGTGTCCACACTCTGGAGGGCAAGCATTGTGACATCACTTCCTGCCCACGTGGATTTTACGTGAACAGGTAAGACTCTCTGTATTGCTAAATTCAGAACAACTTACTCCCATACTATTGCTATTTCTGCCTTTTCCAGTGTGACAAATGAACTGAAAATAGTTTTGAATATCTGTTTCTTGACTCACTATTTAAATGCACAAAACTTAATCAAAACTTACAATGTACACAAAACTGGAATAAAAAAGCAAAATAACCATTAATTTTCAAGATGAATTAAGGTCATGTGACAAAAATGTAGCTTACTACTGTCTAAAATGTTGATCATTGCATTTTGCATACAGTTTCATATACTATTTCTTAAATATAGTAGACATTACACAATATATACTAGATTTTGCATAAAGAAAAATAAGTCTAATTTAAACACACACACACTCACATATATATATACATATATATGATGTAAATGATGTACTTCGTTTGTGGTGATTAATTTAAAAATGTATTTAAATATATTTCAAATACAATTGTATTGCAGTATGTTTTTTTACTTTGTTGCATTTAAATTTTTGTTAATGTACTGTATTGCAGTTAAGAGAATGAAAAAAGTAAATAAAAAAGAAAAACATCTGGATACATTACAGTAATAATAATTTTTGGTTGCATATTATTTGTACAAAATAATATTATTCTTATTTTTTTCTTTTAATTTTACTTCACATATTGGGTTGTTTTCATGAGATTCACCCAATAATGTAATTTTTGGAGTAACAGACTGTTTGTGGCATATTAGATTCACAGAATGATAGAGATTTTTTCAAAAACCAAGCTGTATTTTTGTGTTTCAGGTCGACCCTCGAAGTGTTTGACCCTCGTCCTGCTCAGTCGACTCCAGTGTGCCACTGTCTGACCGACCTGCTGTCCCACATCAGCCCACAGTTCAAACACAACCTGAGTACACTGCGGCACAGGTGACCCTCTCACACACACACACACACACACGCTAATCTCTTTCAGTATAGTTCATTGAGCGTCTCTGTCCATTCAGGCCATCTCTGCCGGTTGAGGAGACGCTGTCCACTCCGTACCGCACAGTCAGCTGGCTGGGCATCTCCTCACTTCACTCGCACAAACCCAGCTTCAGCGGCCGGCTGGGTCTGGACCAGGACCTCAGTGTGCAGGTACACACCTGTCCCGCACTCACCTGTTTCAGTGCTCAAACACAATGATCTTTATTGACATGACTGTGTGACATATATAATTGCAATGAAGCATATAAATGCATCAATATCAGCAGTAAAAAAAAAAAAAAACTAGTAATGAAAATAAACTAAAATAAAATGTTGACTATTTAATATTAATTGAATGTAAATATTAATAAAAAAATCTATCAATATTAATATTATTATTATTTATTATATTTATTATATATATATATATATTATCAATATCAATGCTACTATTTAAATAAATAAATAAAATAATTAAGTAAATTATATTAACATCAACAATTTTACTGTATTACAGTTATGAAAATCACTATTAAGAAAAAAACTTAAAAGTAAAACCTATGAATACATTACTGTAATGAGAATTTTTGTGGGAAAATGTGCATAATGTCACAATGCAAAGAAAACAAATCCTAAGGTTTCAGAAGGAGTGAAGTATTGGATTGTTTTCATGAGATTCACTCATTTAATTAATGAAAATAATATAATATAAAATTAAATAAATGTAAAAAAGCTAATATTACTTAATATTAAATATTTTAATTGTAATATTTACAAAAATAAAATAAGCAAGTTATATTAACATCAGCAAGATATTTGATATGCTTATAATCACATAATATGAAATGCAACAATTTCTAATTGTTCTATTTTGGATAGAGAAGCATTTGATAAAGGTAAAAGGGTTTTCCAAAAAAAAAAAAAATTTCTCTTTGTCTTGGTATTTGTCACAGTGAAGGAGATATTTCTCAGTTTCTCTCAGATTCTGTCTCTGGACCTGTCTGTTCTCCTCTGCATGTGCTTTTGTCCACCTGTCTGTGTGTGTGTCATTCACATGTTCTGTTTTGTGTTTTAGGCTCCTGACTGGAATAAGGAACTTCAAACAGCCAGAGATCTTCCTCAGAGGAGTCTGGAGGAGAGACTTCAGAGGGGCCGAGCGCTACTGCAGGTCTGAGGCTGAGCACACATTTGCCTAGAGATCCACAGACATCTGCTATTTCCATATAAAGTTTATTAATATTACTACAGACTAAACTGAACTCTTACCCTTCCGCAGGTGAACAGCGCTTTTGTGTGGGCTGTTGCTCAGGCAGCAGAGAAGGTGATCGATGGCTTTGTCGACTCAATCAGCGGTTCTCACGGGGACCCGGCGTTCTTGTGCGGCGGCGTGTTCATGAGTATGCCAGCACACAGAGACCAACTGCTGGGAGGAGAACGGAGTCACAGAGCTGCTCAACGCCTCGAGCTGCGATGTGTTCAGGCTTACAGCGACCTGGACGGAGACCTCCAAAACCTGCACACCATCCCCACTGCACTGGCTGACTACCGCGGCGTTCGGCTGTCCGCGCAGGGCCTGGCCCCAGGTATTCAGGGCCCCGAGCAGGCTGAGGTTCCCAGTGGCCTTTTATACGGCTACAGCGCAGGGCCGCTGGAAAATCCATCGAGACGGAAACTCCTAGAGCTGCTGGCTCAGTCCGCAAAGGCTCTTTCTCTGCAAAGACATGCGGTTCTGGGGCTGACCGGGCATCAGCTGCCCCTCTTCACCTCTGTAGATGCCCAGGGGATTCTGGGGGCCGATGGTCGGTATTACCTGCTGGATGTGTATCGTACTATGCCTGCTGATGCCAACTTCCTGGTAGAAGATGGAGAAGAAGGAGCAGAAACGGAAGGGAGTTTTCCCCGACGGTACCCTCACGTTTTGTGTCGATTACGGCCGGAGCTAGTGAAGGCGTTCATTCAACACAAGTGAGTATTGACAGGTTTCCCAAGTGCTTACATTGGTTGACCAAACAGATAGCCCCGCCCCCAAATTCTAGTTACTGTTGCGAACTCGGACAAACAAACGGAGTTGCTAACTGTCTTACAGTGACAGCTGTCAGTGTGAAAACCTCGTCCCTATATCTTTTTGATAAATTTTGGACCCGGATCAACACTGTTCATGTATCGCAGGATACGATTAAATTAATTTACATTTAACCAGTTTAATATGAAGAGACAGTGAAATGTTCGATGTGTGTTTTTGCCCTACACTGTACAAGACGCGAAAACAGTCCGCTATTTAGGATTGTACATTAGCATGGACTCACTAACTTTAACGTTAGCTAGTTTTAGCCAGAGATACCTTGCTGAAGCACAAGATGACATTAACGTTCTGCTTGAGCAGAAAATGAACGTTTTTGTCTTCATTGGGATTGGAGGTGAATGCTTAGGGACATTTTGCTCCGTTTTGTTTGGGTTTAGGAAATAGAATAAAATAAATTCCATTACCCATCCTCTCAGGATACCTGGAATCAGTGTTACAAGTACCCCAGGCACATCGTTTTTCCATTTTTGAAGCATAAACCCCATAAAAACAATGCAAGTTTCGGATCTTCCAATGTTTTTCTATGGCGCTGAAACCTACAGATGTCCGAGTTCCGCTCCCCGTGCAACTGATACTCGACTGCCATTGACTCATCTGCGTTTGAGGGGAGTGGCTTACCGATAGGTCAATTTCGAACTAGAGCCATCTTTGGAACAATGCAGAGACTTAATACAAACATACTCGATTACTAACGTAACCTCGATTCCCTGAAATACGGGCACGAGTACTGCGTCTGCTAAGACGCTATGGGGGAAACTCCTTTTTCTCCAAATACTGAAGCCTTTTCAATAACACAGCGCTGAAAACTAAAGATGTCCGAGTATCGCTCCCATGCACCTGATACTCGACTGCCATTGGCTCATCTGTGTTTGAGGGGAGGGGCTTACAATAGGTAAATTGGTTGAGCCGGTGTTCGTTTGTCGGAATGCTACAACAAAATATTTAGTGTCTTTCTAGCAGTGTTATTATTGTTAACTAAAACAATTTCTGTTGTTGTTGATTGAAATAAAACTGAAATAAAATATTTTTGAAGCACTAAAATTACTAACTGGAAATAAATTAAAACTTAAAGTGAACTAAAACTAAAACTGAAATAAAAAGAAACTAAACCTGAATAATAATATTTAAAATAGACAAAAACTAATAAAAAATAACCAAATTACTAATAAATTTAGTCAAATTAAAATGAAAACAAAGTATAAAAATAAAAGCTATAAATATAAACTATTTTTCATATAAATGATACTAAAATAACACTGTTTTCTACTTTGACAAAGAATCAGTTTTCATGTTGCTAAAAGTCAATATTTAGGAAAATTATTTGTATATTAGCTGCAGCATACACATTCAGTACAGGTCAGTTTTGACAGGTATCCCAAGTCTTTCCATTGGTCGATTAAACTGATAGCCCCGCCCCAAATTCACACCATTGGTTGAGCCATTGTTGCTTTGTGGAGGTGTTCAAACAAAAAATTATTACAAAATAGTATTACAAAAAAAAGTATTTGTATGTAAATTGCAGCAGTGCATAATGCATCGTGTCATGAGCAAGCAACAATTATTAATGCATGAATCAAACACACAGAAAGCCATTTTTTTTTCTCACACAATCTCATTATGTATATGTAAAATTTTGCATATTAAACTGGGATACAAGAAAGTATTTCATTTACTTAGACACTTTAATTTTAAATCTACAAACCAGAGATTTTACTTTTGCTTATGTCTTGATGTTTCAGACATGCTGAGTTCTCACAGCGAGTGAAGGCTCACATGGAGGAGAACGGAGGGGTGGAAGAGTGTATGAAATCTGGTTAGAAGTGTTCATTTTCTGTCGTGGGATGCTGGACTGTGTGTCTGAGATGAATTTGTTTAACAGGAATAATCGTATGTGTTTATTTGTGTGTTGTCAGCTGATTCTCCGAACATAGATGCAGTCAGAAAAGCTTGCAAAGATGTCGGATCCGTCAGTGACATAATCTTTGAGATGCGTTTCAACCCTAATGTCTACTCCCCAGGTCAGGAAAAGCTCATTCTCACAAAACAAAAAAACCCAAAACACTTCAAGATCCATTAAAGCAAACTACATATAAGGTCTGTTCCAAACCCTAGTAAGTTTCCCTAGTGAGGCAATATTTAGTGAAACTGAACCTAGTAAGTGACTCATTTTGAAGCACATGGGAGACTTGAAATGTTTCTATGCTAATAACACGAACACATATAATACTGAGTTAAATGGGATTTGACTATTTTTTTATACCTATCTGTCATAATGCATAATGGGATTGACTTTTCTATGTAGCATATATTGATTTAAGATGTTGCCTTAGCCATTAGGCTAAAAAGCCAACGTAATATTCCTGCCTACCTTTTGAAACAGCCTTGACATCACAAGCCATCGCTAGATTTTGGAGCAGAACTGATATCATCACATCCATCTTGAACAGAAATTATTACGTTTAGCTTCTTTACAGCTAAACTTGAGAATTTCCATAATTAGAGATTTTGTTCGAGACCTTACATATTGTTTTCTGTCTCTTCGGGTAGGTGTGGAGTTTCCAAGCTCAGACAGTGACGCCGTGGAGCTGCAGAAGAGATTATTGAAGGAAGCAGCATCTTTTATCATAAACGACCGGATACCGGAATTTGTGAGTGTATTTTGTGTTTTTATATACTACTGGCCAAACGTTTGGGCTCAGTACGATTTTTTATAAACTTGGAAGTATGCATTAAATTGATCAAAAGTGACTGTGTAAAGTTATGACATTTATACTCTTACAAAAGATTTCTATTTCAAATGAATACCGTTATTTTGAAACATCTATTCATCAAAAAATCCTTAAAAATGTATCACGGTGTGCTGAAGCAGCACAACTGTTTTCAACATTGATAATAATAAGAAATGTTTCTTGAGCAGCAAATCAGCATATTAGAGTGATTTCTGAAGAAACGTGACACTGAAGACTGGAGTAAAGATGCTGAAAATTCAGATTTGATCACAGAAATAAATTACATTTCAAAACATATCACAATTAAAAAAAACAGTTATTTGAAATAGTAATAATATTTCACATTATTATTGTTTTTACTCTATTTTGATCAGACAAATGTGTACTTTCAGATGAACGACTGCATTCATGGCACTGACATACCAATGGATGGTGCTTCTTTACGACAAGCCCTCCATCAGAAAGGCATAAACCTGCGTTATCTTGGTCACCTGATCTTGTCCATCAGCCAATCAGATCGCAAACATCAACTGAGACACATCACGGTGAGAACATGATTTTAAAATCCATTACATTGGGGGAGATTTTAGGTTTAAGAAGCATTCTAATCATATCTCACTGTCTCAGAGGTTGGCGTTTGCAGAGATTGTAGTGCGCTGTGCACAACGGTTCTTCAGTGGCTACATTCAGGTATTTCTTTTCACGTAGTTAATCTGTAAAGATATTATTTTTAAAGGGATTGTTTTTTCAAAAAAATGAAATTGTGTCTCGTGTCGTTCAGGGAGTGGAAACATCTAACCTGTCAGCAGCAGCGAGTCATTTCCTCTGCTGCTTATTGGTTCCCCACTTCAGTTCTGCATCAAATGGGGAGGAGTCTAAGAAGCGCTCCAGGAGGCGTGGCCGTGGAGGGGGCGGGGCTGCCGACAGCACGGCATGGACCGCACTCAGCGGGAATGAACTGTGGAGTCTGATCTGTCAGGATGCTCAAGAAACATACAGACTTAAAGAAGGACTAGGGTGAGCCAAGATCATCCATTTCAAATACTGTAACCCTTATGTGTGTCCAGTACACCCTGCGGCTTCATAAAGTAATATTTTTTACAGGTCAAATGTGGATCATCTAGTAGAGCAGTACGGACTCCAGAAGATATCCTTGTTGAGAGAGATGTGCTTGAAGACTGGCATTCAGGTATTGCGTTGAATTAAACAATGGCTAAACTTTAAAGAACATACTAGAATATTACTATTTCTGCAATCTGGTTGGTCTTGATGGCATGCAGTAATTTTGCATAGGGTATGCTCAGCTAGCAGGTTAATTTAACGGTAAAATAATTAGAAACACAAAGCAAGACGTATGTAATTTGTAGCTTTTAACTAATGACTATTTAAAATTGACTGAAACTAGTTTCGGTAATAGTTTTGGTATTTTCATTTTTTATTTTATTTATTTTTTATTGCCAAGGTGTCATGAAAAAAAAACTATTTATCAACAAAGAACAAATGTACAGACTTATTTTAGTACATATAACTAGGAATGAAAAGCACCAATTCTAAAAAATAAAAAAAAAAACTATGAAATAAGTAATAATAATAATAACTTAAATAAAATATTACATTTTAGCTAAATATATTGCATCCTTTCACAAAATACAATGAAAAAGCATGTTTGATCAGGAGTCAGTAGGATTTATTTTTTAAAGAAATGAATACTTTTATTCACCAAAGATTCATTAAATTGATCAAAAGTGACAGTTAAGACATTTATAATTATTTCTGTTTCAAATAAATATTTTTGAATTTTCTGTTCATCAAAGAATCCTGAAAAATTAAATGTATCACGGTTTCCACAAAAAAAGCACAACTGTTTTCAACACTGAAAATAATCAGAATTGTTTCTCGAGCAGCAAATCAGCATATTAGAATGATTTCTGAAGAATCATGTGACACTGAAGACTGAAAATACAGCTTTGATCACAGCAATAAATTACATTTTAAAATATATTCAGATGGAACAGAGTTGTTTTAAATAGCAAAAATATTTTGCAATATTTACTGTATTTTTGATCAAATAAATGCAGCTTTGGTGAGGTCAGACTTCCCTTGATAGCATTTGTGAGGATCTTTGTTGATATCTTGTAGGGGGTTTGTGCTGTGACTTTTTTTTGTCATAGTCAGAGAAAGCATTCTCATCAGTGTGTTTGTGAATGTCCCACAGCTCCGTCTCAGAGAATACATTCTTGACACCCGTAACAAAGCGCCCATCTCTCCTGACGACGTGCTCAACATCCTGCCCGTCGTCAAGCACATAACCATGACAACCACCGACGCCACACGGATGTTCACGGCGGCTCAGAACAGTCTTCAAAAAGGTATTCATGAGCCAGTGTGCAGTAACTGAGTCATGTGTGAACAGCCTCGCCTGACCATGTTTTCACCGTAGGGTTACTGGAGCAGGCGTACGAGCAGCTGAAAGAAGCGACATACCTCTTCGGTCGTGTGTGTGATGACCTTCACCCTGAAGCCTGCCATTGTCTCAGTCTGCTGGCCAAAGTGGCCTATGTACAGGGCCATCCTGCTGAGGTGTGTTTGTGTGTGCTGTCTAGGGTGTGTCCTGATGCCCGGTGGCTTAATAGGACCTTTTAGGTCATTGTCAACATTTTTAATGTCATCAAAGATCAAAATGACTTTGAACAAATGTTCTGTTACTGTCACTGGAAGAACATTTGTTCAGCATTCCAGAATGTTAGCTAAAGTTCTAAGAATGTTAGTTTGTTATCCGCTCAATGTCTCTCTCGTGTCCCGTAGGCTCGTAGCGTGCAGCTGAGGGTCGTGGTCATCAGCGAAAGGGTTCTGGGTTTCGATCATCCCAACACCATTCAGCAATACGTGAGTCACGCTCTCACTAAACCAAACAGACCTACTTTTTAAAATGCACAGAGATCATCATTATCTGATGCAATTACTTATTTTGTTCCAGGTGTTGTTGGCAGTGTATCTGTTAGCTGGAGGCGAAACCGCTCTGGCTCAGCGCTGCCTGTATCGTGCCAAAGTTCTTCTGCTGACGGTTCACGGAGCAGATCATCCTTACACTGCAGTCATTGATGTAAACGTCATCATGCATCATCAAGCTATGACTGACCCCAAATAGAAATATTGGTTTTAATGATGATGTTTCTCTGTTTTTTTCTCTCCATCAGGCTTCTCTGGGATTGGTTCTTCAGGGAGAGCAGGCATTACAGTATCTACAGAGTGCACTGAAACTCAATAGCTCCTTCAGGGGAGACGCAGATATACACACACACATTTTTTGTATTTCTCATTACTTTCATTATTTTTTTATTAGATTCTCATAAATGCTGTGTTTTTATTTAAATAAGCATAAATTAATTATTTCTGCATTATAGTAATCATAATTTGGAATGGAAAATGTGTTTAAAAAAAAATGTATATTCAAATAAAATTGTTGCTTGTTAGCGGGTGTTACTACTATTATTACTTACTATAATTACATTTTGAAAGAGTTCATAAGGCAAAACAAAAAATAAATAACAAAAAAAACACTTCTGGGGAGGCGTCAATTTTGTGAATGATTTGCATTCAGTTTCTGCAGAATTCTAGCTTCTGATTCTGTATATGGTGCATTTGTAGTTTATGGAAACAGCTGAATAAATCACTGTTGTTTCTGCTTAAGCACAAGAATGATGGAGTTCAAAGAGAAGCTGAAAGAGATGAAAGCAGCAGAAGAGGCTGAAAAGGCTCAACTGGAGAACTCTGAATCCACCAATAAGAATGAAGCTTCAGAGCTGCAGAGCAGTAATGGAGAGGTTACTGAGGAGGTCACAGCGAATGGGGAACAGACGCAAGAGGCCACAGACGCAAATGCAGAAAGTCAGTCAGCGGAAACCAATGCTTGTGAGAAATCAGACCATTCAAACATGAATGGCCAGATCGAGTCCCATCTGCATAACGGAAATTGTGCCACAAAAAACGAAAGTGAGGAGGAGGAACAACAATCAAACACCACTAACGGTGTCTCCACTGAGAGCCAATCAAAATCAAGTAATGTTTTGATGTCAGTAAATGAAGCACAGTCAGAATCAGCAGTGGTGAATGGGAAAGAGAGTGTTGTGAAGGATGATTACTTATTTTGTTCCAGGTGTTGTTGGCAGTGTATCTGTTAGCTGGAGGCGAAACCGCTCTGGCTCAACGCTGCCTGTATCGTGCCAAAGTTCTTCTGCTGGCAGTTCACGGAGCAGATCATCCTTACACTGCAGTCATTGATGTAAACATCATCAAACATTATCAAGTTATCACTGATCCCAAATAGAAATATTGGTTTGAATGATAATGTTTTTCTCTTTTTCTCCATCAGGCTTCTCTGGGATTGGTTCTTCAGGGAGAGCAGGCATTACAGTATCTACAGAGTGCACTGAAACTCAATAGCTCCTTCAGGGGAGACGCAGACCTGACGACAGCTCTGATGTAAGCCAAGATGCTATAATCATAAAAGGAAAATAGAGGGAGCTGTATAGTAATCATACAATAACCTGCTCAGATGCCACAAGCACTACTAAGGCTCTGTTCCAAAACACTAGTAAGCTGCCTATATAGACGACTTCTAATCATCATAGAAGCACACTCAACATCCACTTCCAAAATGATACAACCTTCTAAGATAGCATATTTTGGTCAAAATAAAATGCAGGATCGCATATATCCTTCACGCATAAGACAATTCCATAATGCTCTGCAATGAGCACATAAAAAAAAAAAACATATCCAAAATGGTGAATAAGTTTAAGGAATTGTAAAATTACTGAAAAAATTTGTAGAAAATAGTGCCATCTATTTAGAAATGGCCTTTTTAAATGCAATATTCGTGCACTGTGTGGTCTTTATTTTTCATGACATAATATTATTACCCCAACCAATTACAGACAATAAAACCATAAAATACAATACTCAAAAATACTACTACTAACAATAGAAAAGTAATAAAAAGATAAACACAAAAATAAAATAAAAAAAGAAAACACACTTCAATTATTAGAAACTAAAAATTAGAACTGAAAAATACCTAAAAAACACAAATACATAATTTAAAAATAATAATAAAAAAAAAAAAAAAAGAAGTTTTTTTTTAATTAAACATTAAAGTTGCCGCTCATGAAGAGTGTATTAGTTTAGTCACTTATAAGTTTTCAATTTTGGTTACTTTAAAGGTGGCTGGGTAATTTGACACTGAGGCAGCTCATTAAGGTTTGGATCAGAGCCAAAGTAATCAAACTCATTTAAACGAATAATTATGTTACTTGTCTGTTAACGTTGCTAGAGGTGGTTTTTGATTGTTTGGCAGGCACCATCTGCTGGCTCAGAGACAGTGTGTGGCTGGAGACTACAGAGGAGGCATGAATCATGAAAAGGAAGCTCACAGCATCTTCCAGAGCAAGGTCAGATTTCGTATTCATGGGTTGAATTTTTGCCTTGAATAAATTATACAATGTTATGAGCGTGTTTATGTGGTCTAACAGTACGGAGAAGATCATCCTCAAACCAAATGCAGCTCTGATTTCCTGAGGAACATTACCCAGCAGGCTGTGCGTGTAGAACGGTCAATTCGTCAGGGAGGTGCGGAGCTTTGTGATACTCCGCCTGAGGTAAGCACAGCTTGAAACCGTTGTCTAATAGAGCCCACATGCGAAGACTTGCAGGTTTTTGTTAAACATGAGCTCTGTTTCAGGGTTTGGTTCCCTCTCAGGACACCACGCTGGAGCAGCTCGCTCTGGTCAATGGCATACTGAAGACTTCCTACAGGTAAGAGACTTTCAGGATTTTACTTTTTTGAAATTCAGAAGCATTTTACCTTAAAAAAATCAACAAATAGAGAAACATCACCTAAAATAAATAAATAAATAAATAAATAAATAATAAAAATAATTAAAAAAAAATTCTGTATAAAAAAATTCCTA